GGTGATTCCCCCAAGTTCAGCATGGCACTTTAAATTAATTTATAATTTTGTTTTTTATTTTTTTATTAAACATAATTTAATTTTCTACAACAGCACAGTATGTAGTTTAATCATTAAATAAATTATTAAATCATTGTGTTAAATTTTCAAATAAAAGTGATACTGTATTATGAGCTGGAAATTTCATTTTCCAGCTTTCATTTCCAGCTCATACTCAATCATTTATTAAATGAACACACTTGACCTAAATACAAGGCCTAGGCCTATGCAAGGTTTCCTTGCTAAAACTTAATTACCAGGAATCAAGACGATATTCTTCTAGGCCTACCAGTATTAAATATGGATATGATAGTCAATCATCACAAATTAAATAACACCCTAATGTTTTTATTCAAACAAATTAACCACGTCGTCACTAACAAAAACAACATTGTTATATAGTCTTCAGACGGGTCGAGAATCGAGCACCAATCGATCACGAAGAACATACATGAAGACCATGTTTGGTGAGCACATGATTCACTCTACAAAGTACTGTACTGTACGCTATGTGAAGCAAGAAGTAAACAAAGCATAATCATGTATTTTCTGTAAGATTTATTGAATCACTACGAAAAAAGTGAAACCAGGGAGATGTAAAAAATACATAAAATACTTCTCCCTGGTAAGACAAAACAAATATTTTTAATGTTTTTTAATATTTAACATATTTTTCCAAGTAGTCTGATCACTAACAAAGCAACATTGGCATGATGTGCACGTGTCTACGAAGTATGGATACAGAACTCAACAAATGATTGAGTAAGATGAACATAACATTTCCAGCTCACAATACATCAGTATCACTTTTATTTGAAAATTTAACACTTGATTTAATAATTTATGTAGTGATTAAACTACATACTGTGCTATTGTAGAAAATTAAAGTACGTTTTAATAATAAAAAAATAAAAAACAAAATTATAAATTAATTAGTGTTATGCTGAACTTGGGGGAATCACCACGACTTGGGAGGCCACGCTAATATCGAGTGCTGAAAATGCTAGTCGTTAAAGTATGACTGCGCATGCGTCGTTTAATTTACGTAATATCGTTTACTGATTTGATTACGACGACGTAAATATATCCACTTCCTTATTTAATATCAGTATAGGCCTACATCTTTATGTTGTTTTTTTTGTCAGAAGTAAAAAAAAAAAAAAAAAAAAAAAATGGCATCCATAGGCCGTTATTAATGGAGCTACTGTAAGTATTGGCGAAGATGGACACGACAACTTAAAATTCAATATCCATTATCAGATCACCAGTCCTGAGCTGCAGTATGTGCTACCTGCCAACGTACCAGTACTTTCGATGGAGGCATTATAATAATTTTGATCGGTTCTTGAAGATGGTCTTGTGCAAAAACAATTGGTGAGTTTTGTTGTGAAAACAATAATAATAAGTGAATACTTTATTAAAGCGAATAGTAATATACAGATATATAATGCGATTGGGATTCCATTTCATCACTTGTCACAAGTTGATCAATGGTAAGGATTAGATGATGTACGCGTAAAATTAGATTTCATAATTCCATGATATAATATTTATGCTAATGACAGTTATAATTAAAGCATAATGTTTGTTATTTTTTTGTTGTTACTTTATTTTCTTTTATTTTAATAGGATTGGATAAACCTACTTTCATTAATATATTTAACAAAGTAATTATACACAGCTTGAATAACTGTTTGTGTACCTGTACAGTAGTGTGCTGAATTTGTGATGTGCAGCCTGAGAGTCACCTTAACAGACTACATTATTTAAACTTGCACAAAACACCTCATTTAAACTTATCACAGAACAAAAATTTCAAAATACATCAACTACTTCATGTGATGAAATTTGGTGCTATTATATAATCGTTTGTTTTATTTACATGGTAATTCACTTAACATATTTATATTAATATTTTACAGTATTTTCCAGCCTTGAAACTTGTTTAACAACATTTAAATCTATTCTTAACAACTTTGTTTCCTGACTTCATCTGAACTGGATCAAAAAGTACTAAGAAGTTTCAAAAGCTCAAGATTTTCAAAATCGGTAAGTTAATAGATTCTAAAAACCAAATGTTCGGGCGAGACTTTTTTTATACCTTCTTTATCGAACGCGCCTACTGCAAATATTGATATTTTTAAAATAAAAATAAAATTATATTTTTGAGCAATTAGCGCACACACCACCACAAAAAAAAAGGAAATTGCAGTAAAAAATTAGTTTTTTTAAATTTTAATTATGCCCTCTACTGCCTTGACATCTCCAAAGATATACATATTTATATAAATTTTAAATATTTAACCATCCTACTTTACATACACCAATAAAATTGTATATTTATTTTTTCCTCCGTCTGGATGTTTTAGGCAGACTGTTTGCTGAATAAAAAAACTAAATTTTATCTGCCCTCCTCCGATGATCTTTAGAAGAATAAGTATGCGAAACAAGGTATAAAGGAAGTCTCGCCTTAGCTACTGATGAAATAATATCCATGTAACATAACAATGTTTTGGATTAATGTGTGGATCTAAGTACTAATTTTTACTTTATTATTCGTAAAACCCAATCTGTTTAGCTTCTATAAATATATATTGAATTATAGGATGATACTCTTATTAATAGTACTCAACACATCCTTAATAAAATCATATTTAAGACAATGAAAGTGTTTAATACTGTAAAACCAGCTAAACTTTCATGTGCAAAAAAATTTCACAAATACTGTACCATACAGAATTTATTAATATCGTATGTTAATGAGGATTGTAATTATCATGTAATTATTAGCTGTGTCTGGCCAGCTAAACCCTAGCAGATAGGCAGGTTTATGCCTGGGCTTTTCTAGCCTAAAACTCATGATACGATATTGTCATCATAGATGATCTATAGTATGGTGTTCATCTCATGAATTAATTCAGATGTTAGGGCACATAGAAAGAATTATTAGAATAATACTCCTTTAAAAAAAAAATGTGATGAGGGTGGGTTTTTTTAATAACCGCATCAATATTTCCAAATAGTTAATGTGCGCAGGAGTGATAATCTAACAATTTTTTCACATGTGCACTTATCAATTCGCGAAAGTTTCATGTCACAAAAGTTTCTTGTTTTACATTAGTTGTAATGCTGTAATTTAACCTCTTTGAAATTTTTTGTGCACCAAGCCTCTTAGTTTTTACAGCCAGGCCTTGCTAAAGACTGAGTGGTTAATTCTAGGCAAATAATTGTGTTGCATTTATCTGTGATGCAATTGTGGAAGTGCTTCGCAATTAGCGTAAAACATGTCACATTTTGCGATGCGACACTGGGTAAATCGAACGCTGAAGCCCAGTAAAAATACTTTATCGTTATTAAAATTAGATCTTCTTATTCACATTCACTTCACACTTCTAATACATATTAAATGTAATAATTTGTCATAATTGTGCTGTGATGATTGTGCATAATCCCAAAGTTGTTAGGAGACATGTCACCTATATCAATAGTTCAGACCTAAAGTAATTTTGCACAAAAACCAGAGTCAATGAAAACACTAATTTTCAAAATTTTATTTGTGTTGCATGTCTTTTTTTTATTTGATAAATCTAAGTGAGTAAATCTTAAATGCTATTATTTTTAGACCTGTCTTCTTTTTTTTCCCAGGGCCAGTTTGCAGAATTCTGAAGTGCGAGGATGCAACTACTGTAGATGTGAAAAAAGGGAGGCGATTGAATACTTTCTTAATAACCTTTGTGAAAAGTATGAGGGAAAAAGGCATTCGTACTTCTGTTACTATGATTCATGGTGAAACTATTGACGATTCTCATTGATACACTCTTGCATGGACCCTATCAATTTGAGGATATTCATAATCTGTAAAAA